AGAGACGACATCAATGAAAGACCAAGATGAGGTATACTTCGAAGCAAAGACTTGATATCTTACGCAAAATGTAAATGTACTAATGCTTTGATATTTGATAAAGAATAGTTAAGCTCAAAATCTTGCTATGCATTAAAAACAATTTTTGCGCACTAAGATAATTCGAATGCAACTTTTTTGATCAAACATGAAAATGACTTTTAAAAATAATATATGGATTTTAAAGACATTTTTATTAAGAAAATTTAGTTAAAAATATTTTCCAAAAATCCATACACTTCAAAACTTTCAAATCGGAACAAACGAGGCCAAAACGTGAAAAAATTGCACTACCGGGGCGGTCAACTGCCCAGAGAGGCGGTCGACCGGCCATGAGAGGCGGTCGATTGGACTCCTCCAACGGTCCAGAATTTGACCATTCTGACTTTTGATTTTTACTGTACAAACGTCTATATTGGTCTTCCGAACAAGAGGCGGTCGACCGGACAAGTCATTTGCAAATTCAGATTTGTTTAATATTTTGGACTCTATAAATACTCCAACCTCTTGCATTCATTGTCATCACTTCTAAGAGCATTAAACTGAGATACATTCAAGCTTTAACTCTCTACTCTTTATTTATCTCTATCAATTATTCACTTTTGAAATTTTTTTGATTGAGTTTACTTTTGAAAATCATTTCATTTATCAAAATTTTCTTCAAACCTAACACTTGAGCTTCACTTATTGTCATTTATTAAAGTGTTACCCTACTTCTTTCCATTATACTCAAATTTGAATATATCTTTATTGTGGAAGAAGATTCCTTTCTTGAAAAGTTTACTTTTGATTGAATTGTGGGTCGTGTTGAGGTCCCGAAAAGCTCAACGTTGTAAAAGGATCAGTGCTCATTGTTTGTAAGTCACCGAAATCTTTGTAGAAGGTTGGATTGCACCATAAGTCAATACATTTAGTGAAAAAGGCTTTACTCGTGACGGAGAGCTTGGTAACGGGGGACGTAGATCGTGATTGGATCGAACCTCTATAACACATCGTTTGCATTCTCTATCCCTTTCTCCTGTTATTTTTCTATGTTATCTTGATTGCTCTTTATTATATTTGCAAATTGTTTTTATTAGTACTTATTATTGAAAAAATTTTAAATAACCAATTCACACCCCCCCTCTTGGTTAGTCATTATTGGGCTTTCATTATCATCCTACTTGGATCAACTTCTTGTCAAGTGAGTCGGTTGCCTAAACCCCATTCCCAAATTTTAAGAAGTTTTATATTATTTGGTATATATCACTAGTTCTAAGCTTATGGTCTCATATATTTTTAATAATTATGCTCTAAAAGTTCATTTGATGTGATGATTATTAGCACTACATTAAAGCATCACAGCTCACATCAAGCATCAGAACTCCCATCACAGCTCGGCACACTTAGTGATAGAGAGAGTCAATGGAGCAATAAGGAAGTGCAGGATTCCAAGAAAAAAAAGGTTTAAAACTCATAATTTGACTTAAATTAGTCGGGAGACATGGGGGGGGGGGGGCGTGGTCACCAGTCACGAAAGGAGCTAGTTACCGTAGGAGCTACGAATTCCAAAAGTTGTACTACTGTCTTCTGGGGGCGAACTCCCTTATTGAGGGATATTGGAACGCTAATGGTAGCAAATCCAAATCAAATTGATGATTCAACAAATCTCGTAAATAAGGAAATTCTAAATCAGCATGAAGATCCACCAGCTTTTCCAAAGCAGATTTTATGAAATAATATGTTAACAAAGCATATTTTATGGTGCAGATCTTATAGAGTTATGGGAGAAGATTTTATGGAATTATATGCAGATTTTATGGATTCATAATATCCTTCGATTTACAGCTACATCATGTAATTTGCTTATATACTCTTGTATTGAGTAAGTGTTCATGTTGCCATCATTGAAAATAAGAAACATTAGTTTTAAGAACAAATTCTCTGTCTTTTTTCAGTTTCTTCTTAATGATCATGTTGTTTACATTACTCACGGAAATTATATGCATAACGTTTTAGAACCCTAATGGAGAGTCAAGGGACATTTTTAGTTGAATTAAAGATAAATCTGGGGTTGTGTTTGGTTTGCGTTTCTATTTTATTTTTTCAGTTTTGAATTCATTTTTGGTTTTCTACTTTGAATGAATATTTTAAGATTGCAAAAAACACATTTGATTTATCATTCTGAAAAATTGTTTCTCTCGAAACAAAAAATTAAAAAAACGCGTTTGGTTTAAAAATTTTAGAAATAGCTTTATGACATTTTTTTCAATTAATTTGATTATTTAGTAAAACATATCAAGTTTACACTAATATGTGATAAAAATATGATATTTAAAGTTGGAAAAAAGAAAAATGGAATTGATTGGTACGTCATTTCTTTATTTTTGAAAACCTATTTTTAAAAATATCATACATAACACGTTTTGAGTGTTTTAAGAAACTGAAAGCTGAAAATGATCTCTAAATAGTAAACCAAATGCACTATTATCTTTTCAATCTCAAATTCCTCAAAATCGATCAAAATTTGAAGATAAAACATGAACTTCAACAGTCAAAATCAAGGAGAAGTCAATCTTAGCAGTGTGAAGGTGCAGAGTGAATTTTTTTACATATCCTACCATGAACATTTTCGTATTAATTCAATTGTATCATACGATGATCATGTACGCTAACACGACAATGAAGTATAAATTTGGATTACTTTAGTTAAGCTTTTTAAATTTTTCATGTTTTCCAGGGGAATAAAAAATTGACCAAAAAAAAAAAAATGCACTTAATTAGAAAATCAAATTTTCGTAAAAGTAGATTTGACCGATGTAGTTTACATCTCTGCGGATGATAGAGGAACGATAACAAGAAAAAGTTTGGTTCACGGGCGAGTCAATTTCGGCCACTTCTAAGTTTATAGTAATAGCTGGAACTCCATGAATCATGGGAGTCTGCTGCTTTTCTTTTTTGGTCTTATCTTCAACGTTTTGAGCTCTAGTCAATTAGGTAACCACGGATCAGATTAAGCCCTAGCACCATGATTTTGATTTGGAATTATGATTTCTTTTAAAAAATTATTTATAAGAGCACTGCTAAATGATGTCATAAAACGTGTAATCACTGTTTATATTGTCAAAAGTTATTTTACTTATTTTCGGAAAAGCCTGATTAATAGTCTAGATTTCCATAAGGTTTTGCAATTCTTGTAATAGCAACGTTAATTTTTTGGTTCAAGGCGATGCGTCAGTGCCCATTGCATGAACCCTTACACTATTTTGGGACTTCATGGGCTAATGCAGTTATTTTTGGACTAAAGATTCATTAGGGACTAGAGCCCCCATGTAAGCAATAACCATGTTCTCATGGTCGTGCCTTTCTTATTGATTTGGTAGAGACGGCAACGAATCGGAAAATAAATTTATTTTTATTAAATGTGTTCATTCATTAACGTTAAATTTTTAATATTAGTTTATGAAATATTAAAAACACGATAATTTTAGCTATTAATTCATGCCATATAGCATCTTTGAACATAATTTGTTTATAAAATTTAAAAACTACAGACTATTTATCCTTGGTTGTACTTCAACGTTCAATTTTGGTTGCCAAATTTGGAGAAATTACCAATTTTGTTCACCAACGAAAACTGCATAACAACATCGCATATTCGTAAAAAAAATATTTTAATCTTAATAATTAAAAATGACTCAATTTATCTGATAATTAATTAATATTCTCAAACTAGAAAATAAATTGACAATTTATCAACGTTGGAGTCTTCAAAGGAAGTTAGATTTTTGTTAACTTAGTTTTTAAGCTATTGCATTAGATCACCTACTAACCTAAAAATTCATCTAATCAATAGTGAAATAAATAATTTTCATAAGATAGTGATTGTATTATATACATCTCTCTCGATTTGTGCTTATGGAATTCGAAGATGTCTCATGTTTTTTAAGCTCTAAAATATTATGTAAATTAAAAAAATTGTATTTTTCATAAAACTTTAACTTCGGATTTTCACATTTGAACTACATATTCCACACTTCAAAGTTATCGTGAAATTAAATTTTTAAAAAATATTAAGCTTTTGAGAAATCTTCTATCTTATATCGCTTCAAATGCACAAGCATGCTTTTGCCTCCCTCTAAATATTGACATTAGGTGGTATAGTCTTGCTCAAACCATCCAACTTAACATCTTATTTCATAATCAGGGGCGGACTCAGACAGTTCGAATTGTGGGGTCAAATTTTTTTTTTCGAACAACGTAACATGAACAAAAAGGAAAAATCGGTTGTTTGCTGTTAATGTTCGGTGTTTGCATTTTGGGAAGAAATCGGTGCATTATATGACATATCTATGGACTATATAATGAATATGGACCATATGATATGGATATAGATTTAGGATTTGAACTTTTTGGGATAAAAAATTAAGTTTTCAGCAAAAAAATAAAAAATAAAAAATAAAAAAAATTCCAAAAAAATGCGAGATCATTTGACCCCACATGACCCATGTGGGTCCGCCTCTGTTCATAATCCGTTGCAAGGTTGCACAGAAATGAGAAAAGAGTCATTAAACAAGAGATATGAAAAAATATGCATAACGCACGAAAAATAAAATAATAATAATAATATATATAAATAAAATAAATGGCGGGAGAGCAAAATTAATGTTGCTGATTAATGCTTGGTAGTTATGGTACTTGACCATTCTGTGTTTCTGTATTTCCGGTGGGTTGTTGAAGCAGCCTTCAATGCTGTCTTTATTTAGTGTTGAGTTAAATAAATTCAGACGTCACACTTTTCAAAGAAACATTAAATGAAGGAAAAAAAAATGAATTTTAAAACAAATAATTGAAAATGATTTTTTTTATTTTTATTTTAAATAAATGGAGAGGATGAGACTTGAAAGGCTCATGGTCAAATGCTTTGATCCATCTTCAGAAGTCCAAAAGCTCGGATGGGGTGGGTGAGTTGTGTTACAACCTAAATTTTCTAGTCAAAATTCAAATGTCGACTAGTCAAAGTCAAAGTCAATTAAGGACTAAAATGAAATTAAATATTTTATTGGGGTTTATTTTATAATTAGTCATATGTGAGGGTTAAATTGGCTACAATTTAAAGTTGAGAATTTACTTATATATATTTGGAAGTTTAGAACTTAAAAGCTATATTCTATTAAAGAATAGGGACCTTCCTTAGCAATTTTGAACAAATGGCATTTATATTCAAACTTTGACCATACTTTTCCACAAAAATCACACACTAACACACACTAAAGTGTGTTGAACGGGAGGAAACGCAGAGAAGAGAAGAAAGGGAAGAAAAGAAAAAGAAAGGAAGAAAAAGAAAAAAAAAAAAATCTTGTGCCAACTACTTCAATCTTGTTTATTTAATTCTTCAAGAGGTAAGGTTAATAATTATTGATTTAGTTTTTGTAAATTTTGTTTAGGGTTTTAAATTTATAGCTTATACTTGAAAAATATGATAAGAAATCTAAATATTTGAGTATTTGGAGCTAGTTATTCTAGTAGATTGGAAAAAAATGATATTTAGATATTAGGGTTTTGTCATATATGCATAAATCCGAAAATTTGGGGAAATATATGAATTTTTGTTATTTTCACTTGTGATTGTTTTATGGTATTATTAAGTTAGATTAGTTGAAAATAACTTATCTTATGCTTGAATTCTCACTTTGGATGAATATGGAAAATATAAGAATGATGTGAATTTTAATTATACAGTGGATTATTAGTCTTCAGCTTACATTTTTCCCGCTTACAGTTTAGCTTGTGGAGTTTAGATTATGGTTTTTAATTATTGAATTGTTTAATGTACTTACTCATCTCGTTATATATATATCTTTACACACAAAGGACAGTACAACCAACTTTTAAGCACTTCACTCACTGGGATTATTATCTCATATTTTCCTGAACTTTTCCTTATAGGAGGCTGTTGACTGAGCGGTGGTGGAGATTATTTTGATAGTTTTGCAGACATTGCTACCACCAATTGTAGGTTCTTTTGTTTGAAATTGTGTAATCATCAAGTAAAATATTTACATCATGTTGGAGGAAAATTATTTTGGTATTTATATACACCAATGATCATGATGTAATATTGTAATCTAAACTGCTTCCTATTATCCTTTTGAGAGGCAGTTTTGATGTATATGTTATGGATGTTTTTGGTTAAACGAGCAAATGATAGTATTATGTTGGTGTTTTATTTTAATTGGTCAAATGAAGCTTTATTATTAAAGTTTAGCTACTTTTGCCTTGGTGATGGGTCCAGTGCCTAGCTGGCACTTATCATCGGCTCACGTCACGTCTTAAGTCTTAGGACGGGATGTGTCAAGTTGTGTATTCACACATGATACATACAGATACACATATATAAATGTATAAATGTTAACATATTTTGCTGGGCACTCTCCCTCTCTCTCTCTCTCTCGAACTCTTAAGAGAAAAATGGCGGAGATATCATCAGGTGCAAATGGTAACCAAGGAATGGCAGTGAATATAAAGCTGGAGGAAGATTTAAACCACCAAACTCTAACCGAATCAGGAACCAGTAGCCATGGAAATTCTCCGGGCTGCGGCCTTCTTACTCTACCTTTTATACAAAAGGTGATTCTTGATTATTCCCTCTTTTTTTCTTGATTTCACTTTTAATTTATAATATTAAAAGTGGATTATTAATACAGATAATTGCGGAGATACTGGGGACATATTTTTTGATATTTGCGGGTTGTGCCGCCGTTGTGGTGAACGCCGATAAGGACAAGGTGGTGACACAGCCGGGAATTTCAATAGTGTGGGGTCTGGTGGTGATGGTTATGGTTTACTCAGTTGGACATATTTCTGGTGCACATTTTAATCCTGCTGTAACTATTGCTTTTGCTACCTGCAAGAGATTCCCATGGAAACAGGTGAATTATATCGATACAGACTGACTTTTATCTTATTAAAAATTATTTCTCTTAACCCATTTTATCTAAGTTTTAATAATATAAAATTTAAGGAATTAATTAGTTTATATGTTTTTATTACTCGTCCATCATATCATGTGCATTAAAGATGACATGTTGAAAACCAATTTAATTCTAAAAATTGAAAATGTGGGGCATGACTCAAACACAAAATAAGAAATTCTCGAAGTGACGCTGAAAAAAGGCACTCAAGGTAAATTTCCTGCCGGCCTAGTCTATCGTCATGGAGTTTCATTGTACCACACGTATGAGTTGTGAATTCTTAAAAAAATGGATTATTCCCCGTGTACATTGGGGTACCAAAATTGACGCCCCTCCAATAGAGGGGTGTCGACACTCTTATGGCACCTCCAATGTACACATAGCACAACCCAAAAAAATTAATTCACAAAATATGTATCAAATCTCTAAGGTGGAGATATCTTCTATGGAATCCTCAAAGAAAGATTCAAATTAATAGTTCTTGATTTGGATTCTAATTTAATGTTGGGTAATTTATAGCACCTCTCCTACTAACTGTAAGCTTTGAGAGAATTAGTTGTCATTAATGTAGACAGTTTTACAATAGCTTCCTCATTTTTAGTTATGTAGCGTGGCAAAATGATTAGGACCATGCTGGGGTGCCAGAAGAGAATTGACACCCTAGTTGACAGATCTTCACAATCGGGGTGTGGTGGAATTTTTTACATTTTTTATTCATGTGGGGTCGACGCGGTTCCTATTAACATGTAAGTATCTGTCAAAACAGTGGGCAAAATCCTTTTGGCAGCTCGGCATTTTCCAAATGATTAAGGGCTATTTTAGCGAACGTCTATTGTCAACTTACTACTACAAGCTCATCTTACCATGCAAGGCAATTCAAAAAATTATTCAAATAAATTCAAAAGTAACTTCTTAATAACAATTTAACTTTTCAAAAGCATTGTCTAATGGGTCCTATCTAATATGTTTGGCTTAAATTATTCCTAAAAAAATTGGTCAACTTTTTGTGGCTTATTTTGACGAAATCAAATTACAAATTTTGGTTGTTTTATCCCCTTCTTTACATTCAATATGTGTTTATGGTCCTTTCTTTAGGAACTATTTCATAGGTAGAGGAATTTTGTGGGGGTTACATTAAGACTTCTATTTCTTATTTTCTCTTGTGCAAATTTTTATTGCAGATTTAATTAATCTAATACTAGAGAAATCAAGATTCTTTTTAAAATTTTCCAAGTCATTATATTACTCTCTTCGATCAGGTTCCGGCCTACATCTTAGCTCAAGTCATTGGATCAACGCTTGCAAGCGGAACCCTACGATTACTGTTCACCGGCAAGCACGATTACTTTTCTGGCACACTTCCTGCTGGCTCCGACATGCAGTCTCTGGTCGTGGAATTTATAATTACTTTCTACCTAATGTTCGTCATTTCCGGCGTCGCCACGGATAACAGAGCTGTTAGTTCATTTAATTCTTCAGCTAATCGCAGATATAGTTATTATTTGAAATGCCAACACAATATGATGATATATACCTTTCTTAAAAGATCATAAAATTGATTCTCATTTATTTTATTTTAAATGCATAAATCGGATTATTAGGCGACAAAAATGGTAATAATTGAGGGGAGTCAAAGATATTGACATTTTATTTTTCTATATTATCATGTTGAACATGATGATGATACAATCTCAATAAAATATGAAGGTATGACATTAACATGGTTCTCTAGGGGCTTATGCATGGACGACTAAAAAGAGACAACAAGAAGTCATGTAATCGATACCAAATTAATCAAAGTAAAATTAGTTTAATTGTTGTACACAATAATACAATTAATTTAATCAATACCATCGATTTGTCATGCAGATTGGAGAACTTGCTGGTCTTGCCGTTGGATCTACCGTTCTGCTAAATGTGATGTTTGCAGGGTATATGCCTACTCCTAAGAAGTTTGCATTTTATTCAAAAAGAACCTAAAAAAAATTTAATTTCGACTGCGTTACTAATAGAAACTGATTAATTTGAATAATCAATTTTTCTTATAAATTTGCAACTGAGATGAATTAGATTTGGTGGGCAGGCCGATATCTGGGGCATCAATGAATCCAGCAAGGAGTTTAGGCCCAGCAATAGTGTCAAAGCAGTACGAGGGGTTATGGATCTACATGGTAGGCCCAATAACTGGGGCCGTGGCTGGGGCTTGGGTCTACAATATTATCAGATTTACAGATAAGCCCTTGCGGGAAATTACGAAGAGTGGTTCATTTCTCAAAACCTCATCGCGTAACGTCTCCAATTGATAATTAAAGACTTTCTTTTTCGTTTCATGTGTAATTTACAAAGGAAAGAACTTGTATTTTGAATGGAATAAACTTCTTACCTTGTTTTAACCAATGAGTACAAGTTGCATAATACAAATATTCTTGATTTTATGAGTACTCTTACTTGATAAAAAGCCTCATATTGACGAAGATGAGCGATAATGAGTCATTTAATTCATTTCATTTTATTATCTTTTGTTTATTCGTGTATTAAGGTGTCTTAAAAATCATCCAAATTGTATGTAAAAAGAAAAGGGAGAATGAGTTGTCTAATATCGTTCCTCCACCATCAATTAATAGTTCAAGTACATATTGTTTAGGATAACTATGGATATAATCACATGTATTCTATAATTTAATCCAGCAGAAAAATTGTTGCTGCACTCTTCCTCTTCACTATTATATATAAAAGATTTGCGTGGTTTACAAATCTCTGTTGCCCGATGTTTCACTCTTTCACGCCTTTAAACTTTAGATTTTCTTACATTTCCAAGATTTTTTTTTTATCAATCTTTATTATATTTTAAGAGGCCTCTAAAGGATTTAAACAAGCTTAACTTATATATACATTCATAATTTGCAGTAGGTATTTAAATTGTTGAAGAAGTCAACAAAAGCTTCTAGTATAAACAAAAACTCATCAGGAAAATCTAGGTATGCAGTATGCATCAATTCCATCATCCAAGAAAAGAAACCTATATCGAAAATGAGAAGGAAAAAGGGAAAAAAATAAAAATAAAAATGAAAGCAAAGGATGCTAATTAATGAGAGTTTATATGCGCACAAGCATGTATATAAATATGTATATCTATTTGGGGGAGAGAAATCACTCTCACATAACAGGAAAAGGCTAGAGGAGGAGTTAACAGGAATTAGGGTTTGTAGTGAGCATGGATTCTGATAGCAACCTATCTCCCATTTCGTCCGTAAGCACTGATGGAGACTTTTCACGCAACTGTTTCAATGTAGTTTTCATGCAAAAGGTGATTCTTCTGCTAATGCACTTTTGTACGTGTTAATGTACCAGTTTCAGTTTGTCTCTCAAATTGTTTGTTTTTTCAGTTGTTGGCTGAGCTCATAGGCACCTACTTCTTAGTATTTGCCGGTTCCGCTTCAGTGGTGGTGAATATGGACATAAACAGAGTTGTCACACTTCCAGGAATAGCAATTGAATTTGGATCGGTTTTGATGGTCATGATTTACTCTGTTGGCCATGTATCTGGTGCACATTTTAACCCTTCTGTAACCATTGCTTTAGCCTCCTGCGGAAAGTTCCCATGGATGCAGGTGGTTTTTCATTTAGTAATTTCGAGAATTATATTTAATACAATTATTATTTTTAACTCGTCCCTTCACGTGCACTCTAATGTGCACAAGTGCCTTTACTTGTATAGGTACCCTGGTATATCTTAGTTCAGATCCTTGGATCAATTCTAGCAAGTGCAACAATTCGACTGTTATTCGAAGGGAACCAGGATAAGTTTGCGGGAACACTCCCGACTGGGTCAGATTTGCAGGCTTTCTTGATGGAAATCATAATTACATTCCTCTTCTTATTCGTCATATCGAGTCTTACCACTGATGATCGAGCTGTAAGTCCTACATAATTTTCCAATATATGATTTTATCCAATGTTTATCAAGTTTTTTTTTCTAGGTCACAAAACTCTTATTGGAAGAATGCACTTATAGTAGGTCTAGATGTGTCAAAATATATTAAATACCCTACATTGCACGAATAAGTCGAAGGGTGTCAAAATCTATCAAGCAGCACTAAATCATCATGGTTGTGGAGAAAAACCTGGATGAAATTTAAGGCGATCAATTTTTATTTTTATTTATTTATTTATTTATTATTATTTTTTTCCCATTGTTGATGCAGAATCAACCTCTTGCTGGACTGGCAATTGGAGCTACCCTTACAGCAAATGTCATGATTGCGGGGTATTAGTTAAATTTTCTCATTAATTTTCTTATTCTATGTTAGGTTATTTCGTACTTTTCTGGCACAACCTCATAACATGTTAGTAATGCGACCTTAATAGTATTGAATAGAAATAAAGTAATAAAATAAGTTTTTTTTTTAGTTAATGAGACCTTAGTGGTATTCACTATTCAATGCTATTAAGTATTGGGCGAGAGCCGCAAGACTATACATTAAACTTTCACGTCTAGCATTATCAAATTCTATATATCGAACAATTCACTGTTAGCCAAATCTTGTTACCTGTTGATATGCTGAATTTGGGAAATTCAATTGACAGGCCAATTTCAGGGGGTTCAGTGAACCCAGCAAGGAGTCTGGGACCAGCAATTGTTTCAAGCCGCTATGAGAAGTTATGGATATATTTATTAGGCCCCACAATAGGTGCCATTGGAGGTGCTTGGGTGTATGTTCTCGTCGGATTCCAAGCAAAACCCTCGCCAGAAAACGTCACGTACAGGGCCAAATTGAGATTTAAGACTCCTTGCCTACTCAAACAATGATATTGTTCGAATAGGCCTCCCTTCGATGATTTTTGATCAAATGTCCTTCACTTATCAGAAACAATAAATAAATAATATCAAATGTCTTAAATATCATCACCATTGAAGAAGACTTTAACACCCTTATCAATTCAATTCAATTTTAGGTGATCACGTTTTCAAGGAATTCACAAATTTCCGACACTTTCTTCATCTTGAACGGTCCATGATTTACCACCCTGAAATTTCCTTCTTCGCTGTTTTATTTACCTCTTTTGGACATTTGAACAAGAGTTGTTTACCATACCATCTACATTGAGAAATTTCATTTAAAATTTAAAAAAGAAAGTTATATTTTAGAATTTCCATGTACATTGTACTTTTATTATTGAATGTAGTATTGAATGAAATTTTAGTGGCATTGTTTTCTTATTTAGTATGTGTATTTTTGTGTTTTCTACAACTATTGGATGATAATACGCTCTAATATTTATTTGTTAAGTAGAACGATACTCCAATCGTTATCTACCATGTAAAATGACACTACAATCATTATCTATCATGTAAAACGACACTAAAATCGTTATCTACTATGTATACTAACACTTTGTTTGTTATTAATAATTACAACTTGGTCACTACAATTTGAATATGGTAATTATTTTCATATTATTTTGATATATATACTTGAGTAAATTATTTAGCTTTTTAGTTTTATTTACAGTTATGGGTTCTGTGGAACTGATATGGGTATAAGTATGTTATTTTGTTGATTTTGAGAAAACTTAAGAAGAATAACAGTGGAGTTATGTACGGAACGATGAAGAAAATGTGGATCTTTTTTATGTTCTAAGTAAAGATATTTGTATCGTTTTATAGTTTTCACTTTTCACCTATATTTAGATTTTTTCAATGAATCGACCTAATGGACTCCCTAAGGTATGTATCATAGAAATATTGACCATGTGATAAAGAATGATTAAAATGACATATATTATAAGTTATCAAGTCCGTGAAAGTATTAAGTCATGATACAGCTGTGTGTCGATTAAGTTGGTATGTCTCTCAACTTTTGTATGGATCATGTATATTACATCGTAAATAAATTTCATTTATTAAATTTCGAGGCATGGATAAGACATGGCTGCTTATGTTCTTGTTTACAAATGTAATGACACAAGCTGTTTTCATGTCTGTGACGACACTTGTTTCATTTTTGTAGTTTTCACCTATATATTCGTTTTATAACTAGACAACCCTAATAATGGACTATCTAATCTATGTAACATAAAAATGTTATGCTTGTGCTATTCTCACGAATGCTTATAAGTCCAATAACAATACTTGTGCCATTATTATGGATGTTTATGAGTCCAATAACGACATTTGTACCTTTTTCATGGTTGCTAATAAGTTCAGTAACGACATTTGTATCGTTCTCATGAATGCTTATGAGTTCGATAACGACATTGATGCTATTCTCATGGATGCTTATAAGTTCAATAACAACATTTATATCGTTCTCGTGGACCCTATAAGTTAGTAATGACAATTGTGTCATTTTTATGAAGCTTCTAAGTTCAGTAACGACACTTTTGTTCCTTTTTGAGACATAACACCGTAAAGATACACACCAACATTTAACTTAAAGACAAACATGTACAATTGAAAAATCCATCTCTTAAAATAAAGTCATCCTACTGATATGTATCGTTTACTATCATTAAATAAAGTTTCATTTTGTCTTAAGGAACGGCCAAACAGGACATCACATCTTAACTCCTATGTTCATCATCTATAAATAGGATGAGTTTCTTTTCCAATGCGTTGATCCTGTTTTCCCAGCACGATCTATATGTCTAATTTTGTCCACATAATCATCAATATCATTGGGGAGATCAAAGTTCATACATGAGCAACATGAGGAATTTCAAGACCAAAAGCTGCCACATCTGTCGCAACCCAACTCAGTGTGTTTCCACTCTTAAATGATCTCAATATAGGCATGATGAAACAACAATTATATATACAACTAATAAATAAAATGATTTAATAAATTCAAGGGGATAAACAATGTTTCAAGTAGCCAACTTATATACAATGTCTAGTAGGTCAAGATCCATTCTGTGAATTAGGATATTATAGTAAAAAATAGCAAATATTTTATAGTCACTATTTATTTTAGCCAACCTAATAGTGGTCATATCCTTGAGAGCTTCAAGTATTTTTCTTAAACTATTATGCATTCCCACACTCGACATTCTCTCTTAGTCACAAATTCTATGAAAAAAATCTAAAAGATTATTTAAAAATGCCCATTTCATTAAGAGCTTACTTGATAGAAATTTTGATAATTGATTTTTTGACCATTAGAAATAAAGTGGGTCCTATCTGTGAGATAATAATTCAAAAATGACGGCTGAAATAATGAAATAACGGTCAAAAATTTGATTTTAATTGACTTTTAATCTGTACCAAACAAGTACTAAATGAGTCTCAATTTACCGTGACAAACTGATTTGAACAAATCATAATTTACCACAAGAAACTGTATTGAAACTCACTTTACCATATGCATGCTAAGTACTTTATAAAATGTACAAATTAATACAATTGAAATTCATAGATTTACATAAACCTCGGGGTCTCACACAATGAGAGAGTAGGGATCCATTCACTCATTTACCCAATATTGATCGTAAAAGCACACGCGGTATAAAGCATGTGCTGCGATGTTTTCTACCTTTCTTAGGGCGTATGTCATATTCTTTGTAAATAAATAACATTGTACAGATCCTTGTTGAAGTTTTCCTCGATACCTAACTTGAGTTCTCCTTATATTCATTCCTCCAGGCATTCTTAAATCGAGAACTCGATCTGACTACTAAACGAGTTTAATGGATAGCGAAATCCATTTCGATTACTTATTGTAATATCATCTTAATACCTTATCAAAGCGACTAAATCATGTAAATAAAATGATCACTATCAAAACGACTGGATCACGTCCACAACATGATCACTGTGTCTCAGCTTAGCATATCTTAAAACGTCTGATGCGATTGCTTGTGTGAGTAAGCCAACCCGTTCGACATACTTTATATGTGCATACAAATCATTTATCCTGTAATCCCAACTTTATATTACACATGAACTCAAAATTGTTCATCCATGAGCACACAAAACTCAATCAAGAGTTTGTCTCATACACCAAGTATCATATTCTACAAAATGCTAGAGATTCCATATTGTCAACAAATATATCTCTAAACATCTTCAGAGTATGATGATTACATATCATCATTTACGTAGATATATCGCAAAGACATTTTCTTTGCTAATGTCTCTCACATAATTACCATTAAGAGTTTGGTTTCATCTTGATACTTGAGATCTTAACATATAAGATAGTTGCATAACTATCATGGATCTCATATTCTCAACCAATATCATTAGATGCTTAATACATCCATACCAAATAATTTCTTTAGCTGCCAAGATATACATAACAATATATACTTTTTGCTAACTCTCATTCTTAGTCAACAATTGTATATCTATTCCAATCACAAGTTATTCTTTTGACAACGAAATAGAATAACTGACAGCAGCACCTTTCAGGTATCACAATACATTTTCTAAAGATAATATTGATACCTATTGATTAGATCCACGGCATGATCATTGTTAGGACAAGTATATATCATAGTATACTTCTATCTCTTAACTCTTAATCGTACTAGATATAGTTTTCTAGATATTTCTTTGTGCACTTATGAAATCTTTGGATATTTATGAAGGCTTATATGATCATAGTTATAATTCCACATGAATATTTATAGTATAAAACTTTTATGATACTGCAAGAACATCCGAAAGTATTCTTAGCACAAATAATACAATTTGCTAAACCCATGTCTTTTGTCTCAAAAATTGACGACAATCATTTCAAAATGGTCTCTGTACACTCTATTATGCTTAGCCAATCCAATGTCATCAATATCAACATTAGAATTACAAACTATCATCAGACCTTTTATACAAATACAGTAATTTTCGTCCATATGACGGTCTATACAAATACAGTAATTTTCGTCCATATGACGAAATTCTTGTACGAGATTTAACCATGTTAACAACTCAAGTACGACTATCGAGATGACTGTATTTAGCCATGCATGTAACTGTAAAGTTATCACAATACAAAAAAAGCCTTTAATATGAAATTTAAAAGTCAATTCATATCGATATTTTTAATCATTTCTCAATTGGGAATAAAAAGTATGGTCTCTAGGTCGATTTGATGTAACTCTAAATTTAAACATATCATCACGGCTAGCATCAATGTACAGAAGCGAATCCCATTGTTATGAACAAATTTATCCAACTCAATACACTCACATTAAGTATAACCTTTTTCAAAAATGAGCTTTATCTATTAGAAACTCATTAGTCTTCCACTTAACTTTCAAGAACATGAATGTTCTCGGTATACATAATGTCCGAATAGAACTTTCATCATATCCCAGATTAGGTTGAAATTCCATACTCCATATATATACATCTATCACTTTTCTCAAAATTTCTCTTCTGATTTTCTGAACTAGCTCTTAGATTCAACTTGGAACCAAGAATCATTAAAATTAGACAGTTCTTAATGTTCGAATAGAACTTTCACCATATCTCAGATTAGATTAAAATTATATACTCCATATATGTATGTATATGTATGTATGTGTGTGTGTGTATGTGTATATATATACACACACACACACACACTTCCATCACTTTTCTCAAAATTTCTCTTCTGATTTTCTGAACTAGATCTTAGATTCAACTTGGAACCAAGAATCATTAAAATTAGACGGTTCTTAAATGGATCCCACTTAGATAGATAAGTCCAACTCGAAAATATATTACTCCCACTTGAATCAGAAGTTTGAATCATCTCTTATATATTCAAAACTGATTCATCAATACATTTAATATCAATTTCAACGATATTCTCCAATATTTTTCTCCCTTATTGGGAAAAATGTCAAATGTCATATCTTATGACTCGATATCCATCCAAAATTTTTACTTAAGTACCTTTTTAGACTATATGTATGTCATCGAGACACGTCTTGTTCTCAACAAATTCATATTCCCATACTCATTATCGAGAACTTATATAGTCAATTAAGAGTCTATGATAACTCACATTCGATTATTTACTGTCCAATACTTATATATTCTGAAGTTACCAACATTGATATAACTCCATCAACCGATACGTTGTAGTTAGTCAGTGCTCTTTTCAAAAGCAAATACGTAAGTTGTACTACATATCTTGAACTTTATCAGTCATCATATTCAGCAATATTTCATTATTTCAATCCAATACACCATATAATTATTGGATATTAAAGAATAGTCAATCCAATAAAAGT